CCCCAAAACCCCAAAACCCCAAAACCCCAACCTGATGTTAAATAATTGGGTAATTTTATCACTTTCTCTTACTCCTAATCCTACATTAATGATTACAAAGAAACCTCATCTCGCCCAAATCTTCTCGTCGATTATGACGGTCAAAGAGATTCTTCCGTTCTACTCTCTCCCAGACTGAGTGCATTTGTTCATGACCAGGTTCACCTCCGAGTCCAGACGGATCTGGTTGACCCAGATCTACAAGTGGAGCAAGATCTTTTCTCCTTGGAAAAAGTGAATGTACCCAGTCTTTGTTAAGGATTTGGATCCAGTGACTACTATTGGCCCTGGGTTGCTTCTGAAGTATTGCTTCTGCGTGGATTACAAAGAAATTAAACAAGTAGTCAAGTTTGTTCAAGAGTCTCTTCCAATAGAAATATATTGTATTCAGATAGTAGATCTAAATTTTGCTACCATTCTGAATTTGAGATCACCAGATATTTATGGCAAAAATTTAAGAGAAAATAAATACTCGAAGGAACTACAAGATACAGTAAAGAGCTTGAAAGATCTACTTGCTAGAATTGAGGTTTTGTGAGAAATAATAAATGAAAAATATGACAAATTAGCATTGGAAAAGTTAGAAATCCAACATTATCAGTACAAATTACACACAAAACTTATCAAACTGTACAAGATTCCTGAGATTTTTAACATAGATATAAGCGAAATTTGGGCAGACAGAATATTACCGCTTGATCCATTATCAAATGTCTATTTTGATGAAGATCTTTCAAGGCGTGATGCACATACTATAAGAGTACAATTAATAAAACAATTTTACATCAAAAATGACCGTGGTCTCAAAAACTTTACAGATAAAGCATTGAAAAATACGAATATATTTTTTGAATCCAAGGAGGAGATATCATTCGATTTTTGAGAAGGATTGGATCCTCATAAAATTTACAAGAGCGGCACGCTTAATACTATCAAAAACAAATGAGCTAGACTTGAGTCTTTGCAGTTTGAACAAGACACTGAAACTCCGAAGTATGAATGAGCTGTTGTTGTCCGAGAAGCAATTGAAATATTCCCCCATTGAGAGATAATATTTTGCATGGGAGCTTTAGTAAATTTTTCAAAGTTTGATATTTCATGCAGCAAGGCAGTTGTAACTTTCGTTGAAAATGACAAACAAATTACCTTCTACTTTAGAGATTGAGAAATGAAAACCAGTAATGATTTATTTATGAATTCTGAAAAGCATATTCAAATAGATGGCATTTTGGCAGTTTCAGCAAGAGTTTGAGGAATTGACATCCAGTCGATAGATGATGAAAATAATGAATATCAGAAATCTAATAGTAAAGATGATCAAGATCATGATAGTTCAAGCAAAAGCACAGATTCAATGCCAAACTCAGTGGTAACCATTCTACCGAAAGATATAACCAAGATCTGAGTATAAATCCTGAATCTTTTGAAGAAAACAAGTTATCTTTCAGATGCCTATATGACCACAAACAAATGTGCAAAATACCTGTAGAGTTAAGTATCAATTTTGAAAGGTTTATTGCTAAAACAAGAATGGGATCATTGGAAACAAGCATTTACGAGAAAATAAAAACTGAAGCTGTGTTATTAAACCTGAATGATCTAAATATAGGATTTGATACTTTATTTCCAGAAGCAATCTGAATGGTCAAATATTTAGCAGAGAAATGAAAGAGCATCTGGAAATGAGAATTTAGGTTTAAGTTTCAAAATGATGAAGAAAGAGTGAAAATATTGAAGACATTCTTCGAAATCTTGAAAGACAATAGCCATATCCAAGAAATGAATTTACTCTTTTACAATGAAGACCCAAACCCAAAGCAATGGAGAATTATTTATACCCCTATTGGACAAGTTTTGTCTTGAAGTCTGAGGCATCGATGGTATTAATACTTAAATAATTAAAATGATCATTTCTAAAATTTATCAGCATCAACTTATGTGTTTATTTTATTTTATCATCTCAATCCTTTCTAAATTTATCTTGTTCCTTATCTCACTTTGGACTCTAAATTTTATAAGTTGGTGGTAATACCCTTCTCTCAATACATAGGCCCATTATCCCTAAACATCCACTCCTGGGTGTCACTGCTCTACCAATTTCTTCGCTAAAGCCAATACTCAGCTTAACTCAATTGGTAGGTGACTGGGAGCATATTTTTAGATGATTACTCTTCACAGTTGAAGGGAATTTTGTTCTATCTCTATGGAGGATCTGGGGAATCTTGATGGCTGAGGTAGAAGGTAAATTTTAAATGATGGCTTTGGCATAGGAGGATTCAGACTTCTTTCTGAGTGTTGGTGGATTTGATTTTGGTGAGGATTTTAGGTTATTTTGGTAAACCTGAATGTTACCTGAACAGGAGTTAGGAGAGGGGAGTAGAGGGGAAGGTAGAAGAGGCTCCATTCTGAGGTTTAGAAGAGTTGTCTGTTAGATGGTCAATTGTTTAGTATTGGAGTAGTAGCATCATATCCAAACTTCTGATTCAGTGATAGCCATCTTCTTAATCTTCTGAGAAAGAAGAATGTTTTAGAAGGAGTTTATATTTTCCTTAATAATCATGCAAAGCCAGACTCCTTTATATCAGATTGTTAGCATTATCTTCAAGGATTCTGAAACTATTTCATTTAAGATTCTGTGCTTAGTCCTCTTATTCTTCATGAATATATTTGATGTCAACCTCTACCAACAGTGCACTCTTCCAGATTCCAAATCAATCACTTGTCATTGAGATGTCTCACAAAATCTACTATAAAAAAGCTTCTTATCTCTTTTATTCTACTTTGTCTTAGTCCTTTGGTTTTCGACTGATTTTTTTGAAAAGTAGTTAACACAAATCTTTCATAACATTCCTAACAAAATGGTAAGGATATTCAATCCCTTTTGGTAAACAATTAGCCGAGGATATCACCTACAGTTCAAGGAGATGAGTTGTCATTGATATAGCTATTAATTATACAGACTATTTTTGATGAATCTTCTTCATTAAGTGTTTGGACATTCCTCCTACTAGGTCTCCCAAATAATACTGCTTCTGGTTTTTAATATTGTAGATGGCAAACTGAATCAGTTATACTTTTTGTAGCCTCCTTTACACACAAATTATTAAGCTCGAAATAATCAAACTCTATATCATCAAGAATGCAGTGGTAGGTTTTCTTAACAAATTTTTGGCTCCTTCCTCTCAGTCGTCTTGTCTTATTGGATATTTCAGATTCAATTTCTCAAAGAAAAGCCTTCAGACTTACACTACTTTTTTACAAGCAGGAGCAAGGGAAAATTCTTTGCTAATGTCTGATGATACTCTTTAGTATATCATCCTTCTCAATTGTTGAGGGCTGGATTCTGGAGTAAGCTTTTGAAGTGAAACAATCAACATTTAATGGGTTCCTAAATTAGAGTCTTCTACTTCTTTTGCTCTATTATTTGCTTGGTCGTAAAGATTAGATTAACTCAGATCAATCTTTATCTTGTGAATTTCTTACTCAATGATACGATACTCAAGGTAACTCTCAAGTCCCTATACTGATTTCTCCCTATCCCATGATTGATAAGATTCTTTGGATTTTTCCAGTTTACTAGGTCTATAATGTAGGAATAGTTAAATAAGCATTATTTTCATTCATTCAGTTAAACTCGATCAAGCAGAATAAGAGCTTTTCTTTATAATTTTAACCAGATAGAGTATGAATCTTGCTTAGCTATATTTTTTGATTTAAATTAAATTACCTCTACAGAAAATTAAATATTTTCAAGACCAAAAGAATCACAAATCTTTCCAATAGATCCCCCTATACTATAATCAACCCCTCTAAAAATGTCACTCAGCAACACAACTCTCCCAAAACATCCAAAACGTCCCAAAACCCTCCAAACTCCCCTTAATCCCCCTCTGAGCCCAAAATCCCCACACAAGTCCCCTCCCCATGCCTCCTCCCTTCCTTTCCCAAAATTGTCCATCCTTCTACTTAAAAGCCCTTAAAATTTCTAAATTTGTACTATTTCTCTAATAATTTTAGTGGAAATTTTAAATTTTACTGAAGAGAAAAGTTGATTTTAAGAGGATTTGTACGTGGAGGTTGGGAAGAGAAGGGGATTTTGGGGTTTTGGAGGTTGAGAGGTGGTGTTGGATGGAAGAATGTGGGGGTTGTTGTGGAGATATGAAAGGTTTGGTGTAAAGAGAATGGAGGGGTTTAAATGTGACTGAAATTGGCTTGGAAGAAAAGAGTGAGTATTTAATTTAGGTAAGATTAAAGTGATTTGTTTTTGAGGGGATTTAAATTTATGTTTAGTCTCATTATTCATGTAAATCAGTTTATTTTCAACATTATGAAAGATTCAATTCAATGTCAAATCCTCATCTTGGTGATAATATTCATTCTTTTTAATGAGGTTCTATGTTTTTGTAGAGTTTATAGATAGCTACACAACAAAATTTAACCCAAAATGAAGCAGAAGTCTAAACTTTCAAAAGGAATTTTTGTCACAATCCCTACAGTGATGAATGTGTTGCCTTACTATGCCTACCCAGATTCAATCCACTTGTTCATGATGGAATTCAGGACAGAGTCCAGACAGATCTGGAAACAGGACATTTGGAAGTGGAGCCAATTATTCTCTGAACATAAAAATATTACCACGATCACATGGTATAGATATCGTGAGCCCTTTAAATATTTATGACCTGAACTCTTGATGAAATTCTGCATAGAAATAGAACCAACTCTTAAGGAGTTCAACAAGTGTGCATATTTCATTGGAAAATCGCTTCCTTTAGAAATAGGGTTGGTTAAACTTAAACCTTGAATTTATATTGAAGAGAAATGAAATGAGGAAACAACTTTATGTGAATCGTTCGAATGTGTTGCTTCAAAGAACTGCCAAGCTAGAGCCATTATGAACGGAGTCAAAATGCTTTGAGATGCAATCAATACCAATAATAAAAGAGCGCACTGAGATAAGCTGACAATCCAGACTCGTGAAGCAATTAGTGGATGTTGACAAACAATATATGAATTGCCCAGTATTTTTGAAATTACAGTTGGAGTATTCAAAAGTGAAGAGATTATTATATTAGAAGGTTCCATGAATATTCCAAATGGTCGGACTCTAACAGCAGATGATCTGGATTACTATAATAGATCATCAACGAAGTTCATTGATTCTGCATCATTCCCTAGCCTATCATTTCGTAATTCTTCTGAACAAAGTCGATCGTCAGACTGGAGAGTGAGACAGATCGTTTTCAATTGATGGGAAAAATTCATAGCAACAAAGACTTGCAATGAAAAGATAATTTCATCAGTTAGGAATAAATACAGTTACTTAGAAAAAATAGAGTTCAACTTCTCCTACAAAGCTTTCATTTATCAATGGAGTCTGGCTATCAAAGAAATACTCAGATTATTTCCAGAATGTCACTTGACTATTTTGCAAGTTTATGAGGAATACCAACCCTGATCAATAAAATGAAATAAATTGAAATACGAAAAGTTTGAAGATGACAAGAAAATAACTTACCTTTTTGAAGACTGAATTATTGACACTTCTCTTGACAATAAATTTGATTCACAAGAATATGTACGCATCATTCACCTCTTTGATATTACTGGAAAAATAATTTCTGTTAAAATTGAAGAAGATATCAGCAAACCTTGAAAGAAGAATCTTGACAAAGAAGATAAGCCTAACTCATTTGTTTACAGTCAAGATGACACCCGAGATGAAGTTATTGATGACAACTATTCAGTGGCTACAATCCTGATTAAGGATATTACTGATATCATTATCCTTCCAAGCGAGAATGCTCCTCAACGTATTTATGATGATTTGAGTAACTCCTTAATGAAAAATAAAATGTTATGAGCTAAGCCAATAACTTTCCAGTTTGAATACCAAGAAGATGGACAAACACAGGCATCTGAAACAGAGGAGTTTGATGTGATAGAAAACATTGATAGAGCTTCAAGTTTAATGAACCTCAGGAAAATTTACAGCAATGTGCTAGATTTTACCATCAAAAATCTCTGGCTGGTTAGAGACATGATTGAAAAGTGTCCAAACCTGGACTCCTTATCTTTGACTTTCGAAGTAAATAGCGATATTCAAATTAGAGATATTCTAAGAGAATTCGTTCAGATTATGATTCAGAAGAAAGCAATTTCAGAAGTTGAAGTAACCTTCAACTTAAGTGGGCAAGGTAAGCAAAGAGAAAGAAGGATCTATATTGACTGCTGTAGGGTACTAATATATGGGTTTGATGGATTGATGGGATTTGAAAGAGATGATGGTGAAGTGAGTTTTAAGATTGATTTGAAGGATGAATTTTTTTGTAAAACTATGTCAAGGAAGTATTAAAGAGTTTTGTAATAAATCAGGCCTAAGTTTAGGCTTTTACACCAAATATTTGTTACAATTCTGGTAGTTATGAATTTGTTGACCTACTATGCCTACCCAGATTCAAGTTATTTGTTCATGATGGAGTTCAGAACAGAGTCCAGACAGATCTAGAAACAGGACATTTGGAAGTGAAGTCAATTATTTTCTGAATACAAGCAGAGTATTACTCTTACTAATGTTATTGATCTTGAGCCATTAGATTTCTGATGCTCTGGGCTATCTCAGAAGTTAATTTTTAAGAACGATCTCGATCCAAAAGAGTTTAAGGGACTAGAATATTTGATCAAAGAGACTGATCTATTTGGAATAGAGTCTTTCAGTATTAAACTAAAAGATTTAAATGATCATCCCAAAACTTGATATTTCTGCAATTGATCAAGCAAATATCAACCATTAGTCAAATCCAAACCCTGTTGCATTCTAAAAGGCATTTACATGATTTGTTATCTCCTTAAAATCAGTCTAAACAACTCTCAAAGTGATCAGCTCTATTAATCAGGATGAAATACTCAACACCGAGTTAAAAGTCTCAAAATTGCCAAGCATCTTTTAGGTTCTCAAATGGATTCGACTAAAATGTAAGGAGCTTGGTAATAAACTCATCAACTAATGCCCCAGATGGCACCATAAGTTCTGCTTATCATCAGAAGCTGATTAATTGCTGGACCAAAAGCAGTTCTCAGTCGTCTCAGTTGGATTTGTCTAATATTTCTCCTTATCCAGGAGAATTAGCCAGAAGGTTGTTTACCAGAAAGATCATACTGGGATGCTGAGAAGGGTCTGAAGTGGATAAAACGAGTAAAGATCAGATGGTTGAATGGGTAAAGATGAGAGATATTAATTTACAAGAAATAGAGATTGTTATTATTTATTAAGGAGTTTGTTTTATTCTAACCTAGCTTAAATATCACTTACTTAAACCAGTACTTTACCTTCCAAATTTTATAATATTCAACCTCCATCCAGCTCACCAATATTTCTTCATACAAAAATAACTCATCTTTATCCAAACTTATCTTTCCAATACCAAATAAAACTCCTGGGGTTTTGGGGTTTTGGGGTTTTGGGG